CTGCCTCATATGAGTTGTTTGGCTAGGTTTAGTGAACCCCAATAGAAAACTCCACATTATCCCGTCATAGGAAGAAGTTTGAAGCTGCAAACTCCACAAATCTTTAACAATTCAACACTCTTAGCAAAAAATAGAACATCTTTAACACTCAGTAGACTGCAAATAAATATGTTCAACAAGAAAACCACTTTACACCTAATTTCAAGAAGCAAAGCATCTCCCCTACACCTATTTCTTTTATATACCAATTATACCAATAAAAAAGCTTTATATATTTGTAAAACTGCAAAGATCTTTGAAAAAATACCTTTCCACTAGCTGTCACATGGTCCCCATTGTTTAACTTGATGTACTTCTTACTCCTCTGCCAGCAAACAGATTCACACAGTTTAAAAGGAGATAGTTTGAAAGAAAAACAAAAAAAATAAACATCCACAAGATATACCTTATCCCAGTGGAATCTAGATTTTTGTTTCTGCATGCCACCACTATCATCTGCAACCAGATCCAGCACGGCAGCTTCCAACCTATTCAATTAATTAATCATGACATAAAGATAAGTCAACTATTAAAACGTCAAGAACAAGAAAAAAACACATACTACAGATTAATAAACATTTCTTTTTTTATCATTCAGCAACAAAAAGGACATACTAATTACAAAGAAAACAGATAGAATGCCCAAAGCAAAAAAGAAGGATAAGGGAGATTCTCCAAAGACAACAATGGAAAAAAAAAATAAAAACAATGAAGATACATGTGGCACACAGCCCTCCAATTACTACTAATAGAAAACAAAGGAACTCCTTTAAATGGTGCTGAAACTGACACACCCAAAAAGAAGCCAAATAACAGATTTTATCACATAAACTACCCAATATCTTTTGAATTGTCTTGAAAAAATCTTGCATTTCTCTCTAACCATAAAACCCACAATAAATAGTAATACAAAGAAGAATAAATTACAAGCTCAATGCCCTTAGTTCCTTTTAACCAAAAGCTGTGACTGCCATAAAATTTCATAACGCAATAATTATTATCATCATCAGTTGAGAAAACAAATGTTTGGGAATCAATAAGCCATCTAGAACTAATTTTCAAAAAAAATATATAAAAAAAATAAGCCTTCTAGAACTGCGTCTTGAAAAAGCATCCCAGAATAGTCTCTACTATTCTGTCTTGCTTCACGATTACTTATTTCAGTGGAACTATTAGACAAAATGCTGGAAGATATACTCACCACATCAGCTTGAAGTACACTTCCACCCCCCTGGCCTCGTTCCCTATCTGAAACAAGAAATCCAAGACCTAGAGATATGATCTCTTGAAGAGAATCATCTCTTAACAGGTGAGAAGTTATTGGTGAATCTTCACTCACATTATTTCTAAATGAATCTCCAAGCTCTTGGGGAGATGAACTGCTTGTATGTAAAACCTCTGCACAAATCTGAGACACGTCCTTGTCCATCCTATTACCAAAGCCATTACTGACATCCATATTGGACCTTACATTTACAGAAATTGGCCAATACCTCTATTCTTACCATAAATCAAATCCCAATTTGTTGCTTAATGAATAGACTCAGTAAAACAACAAATTAAAGCCACTCCACCATAAAAAATAAAAATAAAAGATAAATCTACCTGTACTGGTAATAACTGATAAAAATAAATCATATCCTCCTAAGTCCCTATATCAAAATTTATCAGTTACCCAGATGAAAACTCAATGAGTATTGCATACTAGGGGCCAAGAATCAAAATGGGTATTGTTTGTTTCTCACCAGAGGAAGTGCTCTTGACGATTTTCTCGGAGGAGCTCTTAGAATGCTTATGGTCCTTTGAGTTGTTGAAGCTTCTCGTAGACCCATCAAAATTCATAGGAACACAAAAAGACTCTAATATTCATTTTTGAAATTTAGTACATCTGAATATTATGATAAAAACACTAATGTTCATTTTTGTGTGATAAATAAGGTCTGAATTCTTTCGACGTGAATAACAGGACACATATTCATAGACAAAATTAAAAAAAACAACACAAAAGCAAACATTCAACAAGAATAATGCAACATAATGAAAACAAGCCTCAAAATAAAAACTAATTTGTTGCTTCGCCTTCCAATTTTTTTTTTTTTTTAATAGTAAAATCGTTTGTTATTTGTTTGTTTTGATTGATAAATAAATATATATATACAGATCCTCTTTGCTAAATCAATATTCTCACATTGTATTACAATTGATTATATCTTTATATATACATAGATATATAAAGCTTTACAAACTACTAAAAAAAAAAAAATCACACTCGCTATCCTAAAAATCCCAATTTACCTTTCAACTTTTCTCTCACTGATTCAAACAACTCTCACTCAATACACTTCATATTATGCAGAAAAGTACACATACTGATAAATAAATATATATATATATATATATATACACTCAATTTTTGATGAAAAAGAAATTGGATTTCTTGAGGGGTGAATTGTTGGTTGACTAAAATAGAAACCAAATATACCCTAGAATTTAGAAATTCAAGAAAAGATCGTGAATTACAACATAAAAATGCTCATATAAATTTTCTATGGAAAGAGGCAAAAATGATTCTAATAAATTGAGTAATGTTAGTGATTCAAAAACAATATTAAAAATTTATGTCAATATCGTATAAATGTTTTAGTAATATATATATATAGAATTTCTAATATTTTTGCAGTAAATTAGACAGTGAAAAGTGGTCATTGTTGATGCCTTCATTTCAAGAACCACAATGTATTGCCACAACAATAGCCATCATTACCACCACCATTTAGGCACTACCCTAACCCAACACCACAAATGAACTTCAGTATTACAATATCACTTCTTCAAAGTAAACCACCTCACCCTACCTTCGGCAACTCATAATCATTTACAAACACTAGGATAACCACAACAGTCAACGAGATATGAAACCTTCAACCCCTCTCACAATTACTGCCACTGCAATTCTACCTGGCATAAAGATACCATTTTGGAACCAGGTATTATACTTTTACGGGAATTGTAACTACGTTTTATACGATATGATAGGTTCCAATGAAATCCAAAAATTATATGGGATAATGAGCATCAAGAACAAAGAGTTTAACTCCATTTGCATGCTAAAGACGACCAAGAGCAACTACCATTCCCAAAGTACAGATGGCACATTGAATTCCATGACAGTAAGTAAGAGAGAACACACATAATCAACCAGCATAACATCAACCTAATGGGAAAGCTCAAAAATCCACAATCAGAGTGCTGTGTAATATTTTTCAGATATGTTTAATATTTCTCAATTAACACAGATCACAAAACAGAACAAAATTCAGTGTTGCCATTTAGAATTGAATTCAAATTCATTCAAGTTCGCAGCAACAAGAAAAAAATTAACGACAATACATTTGTAATGAAACGAAAATGTAATATAAGAATATAGCTTTCGCCTTAATTCAACCAAAATAATTGCATTATCATGATAGGACGAAGACTGAAAAAAATTTCAAATTTTGGTTTTTTGTTTCTGTTGCTATTTTCATCGAAAACAAACCGCGGCGCCAATGAATTAAATCAATCACGAGTTTTCACAATGAAAATATAGTTCCAAAATACTTTTGTTTAAATTGCTAACAATTTAATGCATTTTTACAAACATCATCAAAATTCAAAAAACATAATTAGATCTATAAATCTAATGCTAAAACAATATGACATTTTTTACACCCTAGAAGCAAAAGTATGGCTCCAAAATACTACACTAATCAATGTAAAAAGCCCAATGCCTGAGAATATTCATCGATTATTTCATTACTTGTCAACTGAAATATATGAAAAAACAAAATAAAATAAAATAAAATTTTAGCAAGCCTCATTTCAAATGTAAAAATACCAAATCTGTAAGAGCCAATAAAGATTGGAATCAGAATTCTGAGAGAACCCTACACAGAGAAAAGAGAGAGAAAATTAGAGAGAAGAGGAACAGAGAAAAGAGGGGGAAAATTAGAGAGAAAATAGGGTTTCAGGAGAGGGAGGGTTTCAAAAATAATCAATTGAGAGAGGAATACCTTCAGATTTTCTGATTGTTCTTCAAATTCTTTTCTCTTTCTTTGTAGGATTAGGGTTTTAGGTACAGTGAAATTACCCACAGCCACTCCAATCACACCGCCAACTACATCGAATGCGATAGTGAGAGCGAGAGAGAGCCGAAACAAGGGTTTTAGGAACAAGGAAGAGAAGAGAGAAGAGATGAGATGAGTGCCTTACCGTCGAATTAGTCTTGCCGCCGAAAAGATGAGAGTACCATTTGCCTCTCACAGCAAGATCCTCTCTCTGTTTTCTGTAGGTCGACACAGCGTATGGCTTTGAAGAACGTCCAAAGGGCTTCGGGACTACCGTGTTTGCCTCTCAATCTCCACCGATTCAATTGATAGTATAAATTTGAAGAACAATGGTTTGAAGAACCCTTTCCCCTTCCAACCAATTCACTTTCTTTCTTCTCCCCCTGTTTCTTCTATGTTACTTACGATGAGAACCAACTATCAGTGTCTTGTAGGTCGTCCATGTGGTTTGGTAAAAAATCAATTTTATTGTAGTGTATGACCTAAAAGATAAAATTATATAAAAATAATAAGGATATTTTTTATTTTTTCACCCAATTTTTTTTTTATAATCTTTTAGGAAAAAAAAATTAAACTAAATTTATGAAAATAAAACCAAACATAAAATCACAATGAAAAGATTTGAAAATAAAACCAAATATATTGAAATTGGTAATCTAATCACATTCTTTAAAAAAGTTTAAATTAAGTCAAATCAGCCATCTCAACTTAAAGAGTATGTTTGGCCTTGATGGGTTTATTTTGTGATCTAATTCAATGATCACTTTGATTTTACAATTCAATAACTAGAATATTTAAAACTCTTTTAAAAGTTGTAATAAAAACACAAATCAATAAATCACATGTTTCCCTAGTAAAATTTTTATCGACGAATAGTGTTATCGTCGCTAAATGTTTAACTCTTTGCCCACACCAACTTGTCATCGCCAAAAGTAAGCACACTAATAGCAACGCTCATTCCGTTGGTAAAAAATAAGCCTTGTAGCTAAAACTTTTGAAATTTTGGCGCCAACAAATAATTTTGGCGCTTAAAGAATGTTATGCTTTTTTAACGACGATAGTAAATTGCGTCGGTAAAAGTCTACCTTTACCAACGAAATTCATCACTGTGTCGCCAAAAATATACTTTTGGCTATGAAAAATTGACGTCGTCGCCAAAAGTAGTTGCCAAAAGTGCAATTTCTTGTAGTGATGGCATGTGAAATGCAACCATTTGATGCACATATTCAAGTTAGACTTGAAATACTTATGAAGTTAGCATGATGCACCGAGCCCGGTGCATGCAATACTGATGAATGATGCACGCATGCATAGCATAAGGTATGTTAAATTAAATATGCCCTAATACTAACCATCAAAGCAGGTAAGTAAAAGGGAGAAAGAAGTGGGGGTTGGAAAACATGCACACACGCACCCACAGTTATTACAAATTCGCCCTCGCTCGGAGGGACCAAAAGAATAATACAATTAATTAACCTACAAACTAATTAAGTATTACAGACAAATTAAACTAGTTAAGCAAATTAACTAATCTAATAAAACAGTAAACAGTCTCGAGAAGAGGGCCCAATGTAATGCATGCTCGGTTCCGTTTGGAAGTCCACTGCCATGCACAAATTGCCTCTGTTTTTACTGTTTGACACCTCTGAAAATTGCACAAACTCCAAGGTTGCTTCTCTGAGTGCTGTGGAACACCACCGGCCGTGAGGAATGGTCACCGGCCATGGGGAATGGTCATCGACCATGTCACGTCCCAAATTCGCCCCTAAAAGATTGGGCATGACTACCTCAAAAAAAATGGACATAAAACCTGATAAATATAACCTATGGGGCTTGAACGGAAGCACCTGATAAAGAAAAATCTATTCCATTGAGCTACCACAATCATGCCAGGATCACAACATCATAAAAGTAAATAATATACAGAAAACATACATATACATACATTGACTCAGCCCATAAATGGGCGTATAACAAAGCATATTAATGAAAGACAACCGAAGCATAAACCCCAAAAACTCAATAACAAATACACGAGCTTCGGTTAGTGCCTGGACACATCGAGGTTGACAAGAGAGAGACGAGCCTTAAGGGTTAGGACTGGCTTCCCAGTTGATCACCTACAGAAACAAACAAAACGCAGAATGAGGGAAACCTAATGAATAATAGTACATAAATAATGTAAAGTGTAACCTGAATAGTAAGGCATAAGACTGCAGAGACATATGATTAACTTCATTCCATAATCATTTCAAAACAGCCATGAATTCAGTTTTCTTAACAGAGTAGTTTTAAACCCAGTATGTACAGAACTTCCATAGGTCAGCAGATACAAAATGGCCATAGGCCTAGAAATGCATATATATATATATATATATAACAGAACAACCTTTCGGCCCAGAAATATATATACAGAACAGCCTTTCGGCCCAGAACAGCCTTTCGGCCCAGAAATATATACAGAACAGCCTTTCGGCCCAGAAATATATACAGAACAGCCTTTCGGCCTAGAAATATATATAGAACAGAACAATCCCAAAGTCATATGAATCTTGTCACACCACGATATACACAAATCATCTCATGGTCTACTACAAATAGTCATATTCGTCTCATGTATATCAGAACATTAATAATACTCCTTGATAAGGACGTTATCATTTACCTCATACCAGTCTTGATTCATTATTAACAAAACAGAATGAGTCGAAATACACGAGCATTATCGCTTCTCTTGTTCGCTACCAATCAATAGAAGTAATTTACAGATGACAGAACGTTAGTAATGCTGTTAACAGTAAGCAAACCCAATTATATAGCAGGTTTCTATTCAGAATATCATTTCCACAAACTCTTTTTGTTAACTTGTTTCATCATCTCAATAATTCATATACATTTATTATGCGTCCTCATAACACGTTACCGATAATCCTAAACCGTAATCGGAATACAAAATTAAGCCAACTCTTTCCACGTTCACATAGGTTACACCAACCCTCAATCCACGTACGTGTTTCCATAATGCCACGGACAACAGAATGTTATTAATAGTGATTATTAACACAAAAGAATGTGTATGTGAAGTACTATTACTCACAGTGCGTTGATGGAGCATTTATTCCTCCCGAAGCGTGTCCTACACACATATGAAGTCACACATTAATTCTTTAAATCATTTCCCCTAATTTCCTTTCTCATTTTAACATGATTTACAATGCCCATAACAAGGTTCATTCATAAATTTTTAACATTATTTCGAAACATTTCAGAAATCCAATTAAACTTGTACTCGTATAATTCAACCCACCAATTCCATGATTCCATTTCCAATATGAGCAAAATCATTCTTTATCATCACAAATTAACCTAGGGTATTCAAGAACATAAAGTTTTCCATAAAAATTCATACTTCTCATACCATGACCTTACATCCCAATTTCCTCCTTGATTATACATCTAAGGATCATACTCCATCACCTTAACCAATCAATTGAACCCTCAATGCTTCAAACCCGAAATTCCTAAATCTCATAATTTACTCTATATGCTCAAAAATGCAAATTGTACATTAATACAATGGAAATACCACAAATCTATCTCTTGATGTAAGTATTGAAGAGTATTAGAACCCTTACCTCAAGAATCAACAAAGGAGCAAGCTTGAGGAGAAACCTTCGCAAATACGAGTTCCAATCGGGTAAAAACGTTGATCTTTTCTTATTCTCCATCCTTGATGCAAAAACCATGGTGGATTGTTGTTCAAAATAGAGCAAATCAAGGTTTTGAGGCTAGGGTTTCGGAGGGTTTCGGTCTTAGGAGAAGAGGAAAGAAGAGAGGGGAAAGAAAATGTGGAAAAAGATCTCAAAATCCCGTTTTTACGTTGCTGTACTTGCCAACCCCACTCGAGCGTCCTTATTCCCGCTCGAGCGTACCTACTCCCAGCACAGATCCCAAAACTTCAATCATGTGTAACTCTCTCATCCGGACTCCGTTTTAGGTCGTTCTTGTGTCCAAATTGAAGCCCCGAAAATAAGCTTTTCAATGGTTCTAACCTCACTTTCAAATTCGAAGTGTGGAAAAAGAAAAGGGCAAAAGAGTGACTGCTGAACATAAACAAATTGTTCGAATTAAAGTTTTTGGTCCTATCTTACTTCACCATCATATTACCACCTCAATCAATATTCCAAAATAAAATAAGAAGATTCCAAATACACTACTACAATGTCAAGGGTAATCTTACTTTTCACGCTCGAGCGTTGCTTCAACCGCTCGAGCGCGCACAGACCAATAAAGCAGTCCGTTCGAGCGTCAACTTCTCCGCTCGAGCGGAGATTCACAACTCTCAGAATCTCAGGCCGTCTGCAAAATTGCTTGGAACCCCAAAAGTCAGCTCGAGCGTCAACTCCTCCGCTCGAGAGGAGGGAAAAATTCTGGGTCGTCACAGACCACCTGTGGAGATATCGGCCACAAATTGTTGGTCGGTCGGCACTGTATGTAGCCGACCGGCCAAAACTTCCTGCAGAACCTGTTTTGACAGCAGCAGAGGGCAAAACAAGGCATGGCAATGCATTTCAAGCAAATGTGTGCACCAACATATCCCTTATCATGTTTGTGACTTAAAGGGACATGGTTCTCGATTCTTGGACGACCAATCGCGCATTTCAATGTGTGATGGCCCAAGAAACCAAGTATGCACTTTGATTTAAAATGAGATGCACATCAAACAAACAAGTGAGGCTCAACCTCTATCATACTCAATTCAAGAGGCAAAGCATGCATGCCAATGCAATGCAACCTAGGCATGTTAACTAAGTATGCAACAAGGGCATGTAATGCACAATGCATACTAGGCATACAACCTATGCAAGCAAGCATGCAAGGCATGAGGCAATGCAAACCAACAAGTGTGCAAGATGCAACGTGGATGTTCAAGCATGCAACAACACATGGAGCAAACATGTTAAACAACCTAAACATGTAACAACACACAAGTATGCAACAACACACAAGGTGAACATGCAACAACATGCGAATAATGGACTTAAACTAATTTGGGCAGCTCTATACTAAGCCCAAAACAATGGCCAATTGCTAAGAGAATGAGGACCAAATAACATGCAAGCATGCATGCACACAAGGACCAACACTTAGGCATTGAAAAGCAACTCTCAAGCACACTTAAGAGGATGAAAACAAGGACAAATGGCATGCATTATAAGCTCTGAAAATCAAGTCATGAAAGGTGCCAAACCAACTAGACAAGACAAACAAGGCATGCAAGCAAAACCAAAATTCAAGGCAAGCCAAACGTGTATTGAACTACACTTAGCAAA